CTATTTCGTTTCGGAGCGAAACGAAACGAAATGAGCTTGTTTCGGACGAAACGAAACGAAATAAACGAAATAAAATAAAAATTAAAAAATTTTTATTTTTCAGTTCATAAAGGCTTTTTATCGATATTTAAATCATAGATATGCACCCCACGAGCTAGATGCGTAACAAAAGCAACCCAGAAAGACGAGTGGGTCCCATAAATCTGCCGATATCCCCATTAATCCCCTTAAATCGACATATATCCGCCTTAATCCTCCGATATCCTATTAAAATCCATCGATATATCCAAATTACTTTGGAGTATACCACTTTAGATATCGATCAAAAGGGACATTAAGAGGGATAAACGAGATATCTTCTATATCCCTTGCGATATCTTGTATATCCCACTCCCAAAACCACCTATATTAACTTAATCCATAAAATCCAAATATACACAAAATCCACCTATATCCCCTTAATCTCGCCAATACCACAATATCACTTTAATCTTGCCAACTCTCACTTAATATCAATAATCCCTCGAGATCTCTTTTAATCCACCGCATAAAATAATAAAAATTTTAGTACAACACCAATTTGGAGTACAACTCCAGCATATTCAAATCTAGGTTTCAAAAATTTTTATTATTTTTAGATCACAGAAATAAAGATTTCGGACTATGGTAGGTTGGGCGACGGAAGGCTGGTCTGCTCTAGCAAAACCTGTAAAAGCTTTCTTCCTTTTTAGCGCCGCAGGCGAAAATTTTTTGAATTTTAGAGCGCAAGAAGCCAAATTTCTCCCATTTTCAGCGCCGCAGGCGAAAATTTTTTAATTTTAGGTGCTCATAAGACAGAAATCACTAAAAAATTAATGATTATTTCAATAAATTCCCGTCATTAGGGGTGCATTTTCTTAATTTTTTTTGTTTCGTTTCGTCCGGAATTTTGGCTATTTCGTTTCGAAACGAAACGAAATAAATTTTTTTCTGTTTCGTTCCGAAACGAAACGAAATGGATAAAAGGGCACGAAAGAGCGAAACGAAACGAAACGAAACGAAATTTCGATCAGCCCTGGTCGGGACTGTGAGGCCAAAAATTCGGGAAAATTTTCCTATTCGGGAGTCGGGATAACCGAACATCACTATAGGAGATATCGTTTATCGTATATTATAATAAGGTGTACATATGTATTACTCGGTGTTAATCAAAAATTTAGTAAAATGTTACATTGAGATCAGTGGTTATTAAGCGACTCCAGCTATGACTCCCGCTCCGACCTTTTTCGAATCGTGTTCCGACCCAAGACACTTCAAAATTCTAGCTCAAATCTATTACTAAGTGAGATATATCGGGTGGATCATAAAATGAGGGTCGGCTGTAATTTTGTAATAATTTTAATTAAATTTACAAATTTTTTAGTTCCTCTACCTTTATATTAACTGAAGGAGAAAATATAAAATGTATTGAATTAAATTCAAAAAAATGTTTTGTGAAACAATTTATGGCTAAAAGAGGATATATTTATTATATTCCTCCAATGCATACAATTCGGTTTCTATCAAATAATGGACTTTATCTTAAAGGATTCCGAACTTTTAGTTTTGAGGTAAAAATATCTTCAATTTATTCAAAAATATTCTCAATGAAACAAACATTTTAAAAGTCCATTTTTAATAAGAATTGACTGTAATTTAATGAAATTAAAAATAAAAATGTTAAAAAAGTAAAAAAAAAGTTAGAATGTAATGTAGGATTTTGAACTTTTAAGCTAAGAAAGTATATTCTCTTGTTATTTTTAGAGTTTAATATTAGAGGTAAGGCAATGCTAAAATCGAATTTTTAGTCGTTTGAAACATACTGTATATCCTGTAATAACTACCCTGGGTAATTATTGTTTCGACCTTCCGCTAGAGTGAGTAATTAATCTAGGGAGGGTAATTATACGGTTTGAAATTTGAACGTATTTTAGGGCATTTGTTGGGGGAGTAATTATTGTTTCAATCTATCGCTGGATGGGGTAATTAATGGAAGTGGGGTAATTATTTGAGGGAGGGTAATTAATATAGGTTATACGGTACATAGTGTTACATACTATGATTTGAAAATTATCCGATTTTACATAATAAACGGTCGAGATTAGAAAATTGTGTCAAAGTTCGAACAAATGAGCGTAGCAATTTTAAAATATATTTTCACTGTAAAAAAATTTTTTTCATCAAATTTACTATTAAATTATTTTCCAATAAAATTAATTTCAGGACGGCCCAGACCATTCCAAAAGAATTTTGTTCAATAATGAAAAAATAAAATCAAATAATATAATTTTAAATAATGATACTTCAATGGATGTTATAAAACAACAAACGACTAAAACCAAACTTATACTTAACCCTTCATTAAATATTTTCGATATTGAAACAGAAATGGATGGATTTCTCTAAATATTTTTAAATAATTTTTGAAAAAAAAATATTTTTTTTTTGTCTTTCATTATAATTCTTCCACTGCCTTTTTATATTTTATAATTAAAAAAATTTTTTTGAAAGAATATTTTTTATTTAATTTTAATAACTCTGAAATTAATGTAAAACAGTCAAAAAAAATTTTTTTTTAAATCAGAAAATAAAAATTTTTTATGTGAATTTTTAATTTAATAAAAAATTTTAAAATTATTTCCGAGTACGTTTACCTACTTAACACGTAATGGAAAAATTTATTTTCACATAAGAATGTCATATTTCCCCTATGAATATAAAAAAGACTTCTAGGCGGAATATTTAATTTGTTTTTTTTATTAAATTTTAAATCTTTTTGAAATTAAACCCAAATCAGAGGTATGACAGAATATCTATTTCTGCCTTTCGAGTTCCTTTTTCCTAGTGCCGCTTCTCAAAATTGAGAGAGAGAGAGAGAGAGAGAGAAATCTTCGAGTTCCGATTCCATTTTTTACAATTTCTGATTTCCGACCCTTCCAATTTCCGACAATTTCAGCTGTCCATAACCACCTTCTCTTACCCTCCATACGGCTCTAAAATGAAAAAAAAACATAAAAAAACAACTGAATACATGTTTAAAAAATAAAAAATAAAATAAATTATTTAGAAAATAATTTCATTGCATCTGTCATTTAATTATGTATTTTAATAATTTAATTATTAAACGAAAAATATTATTTATTCAAATATAATTTGAGTAAAATAATTTTAATTTAATTTAAAAAACAACTGACAAATGACAACGGAATTTTTAAATGCCAATTTTTGATTTTTTTTTGTTTAAACTTTTTTATTGTTTAAACTTGTAGGATGGAAAATAATTGAATCAGTTACACAAATAATTCATTAAATATTTTTAAGGGGTCTTACTTCGTTTTACGCTGATTTTCGAGGTGTTAGTAGGAACTTACGGGCTCAATTTTTTATACTATCAATATAGGTATTCATGTTTGCGTGAATTTCTGTAAATGTTTCCTGATGTTTGAAAATGAATATTTTATAAAGTTTTTGTTTAAAATGTTTTTAAACTAATAAATTAGTAAAAATCCATTCAACTTTTGTTAATTATTTATCAAGATTTTTGGAAAATTCGGATCATTTCTACTCAATAAAGAATCTAATAAAGGAGGGACATATATTTTCCGTTCTAGTATATTATACTTATGATTAGGTATAATATGTATCAGGGGTGGAGCTCGTGCCACAAAATACGAGACACGATTTTCACGAGATACGATATTTTCAAAATAATACGAGAACGAGATAAAACAAGATACAAGATCTCTCAAAAAATACGAGATTTCACGAGATACGAGACACGAGATACGAGACTAACGTATTACTGATGAGTATGCTTTGAAAGATTGATATAGTCAGGCATTTGGTGAATATACGTGGATTAGGGAAGATTAGGGGAGATCTCAAAAAATACGAGATTTTCACGAGATACGAGACGAGCTTGACCCCTGGTATATCCTCTTAGTCACTCGATATCCTTTTTAATTCTCACAATTCATTAATATCTCTCGAAATTGATGGATTCCCAATATGCAAGAATATTCAAAACACGCTAGTTCTGTAAATACACAAGTCGAAATATGGAAAAATATGCAATTAGAGCCATGACCTAAATAACTTCGCACGAGCTGTATTAAAGAATATAAATATGCACTTTACTTGTTTCACTCATTTACGTAACCTCGATTATTTTAAATTTTAAAGTAAATAAAAGCAAAGTTAAATTTAATTATATATAATTAAATTAATCTTTGAAAATAATTTTAGAGTACATTAAAAATATTTTTGTTTATAAAATAAAAAGTCTTACGCCTTAATACAAAATTAATTATAGACTAGAGAATTTTTTATTTAAATAATACTTTTAAATAAAATGTATTAGAATTTTCTTTATTTTTCATTTTTAAATAAGCTGACTATTAGTTACATTGTACTGTAAAAATAAAGCCAAGTTGGGATAATTAATACAGTCTAACATTATTATAAGACACACTCTTGTGTTGAAAAAATTGTACATTTATAATGAGTGTTATATGTACATTAAATTGTGGGTGAGTTGCCGTTTCCGAGTCGGGCCGACGGACGAAGTATTTTTAAGCTTGTACGAGTTACTTTGCCTGTACGAGTTACTTTCGGGCCTAACTTTATCGAGTCGGTCATGTACGAGTCTCTTTCGGGCCTAATATCTTAGGCCGGACTCGATCTATCGGTCCGAGTCTGTCCATTTTGGCAACCCTAAAATGTGGGTATCACTTTGGCAGCTCCCTCATCGAGAGGTCAACCAGATTTTAAAAAGCATACACTAAATTGGAGAGTACCTGATTTTGTGTATCCATTGAGGTGGAGCACTCCGACCCTTCGGGGTCGTGAGTATCCGTGATCAGGATTTGCCGGTAAGGAAATGTCGAGGTAATTCAATATCAAACCTAGCTTTCTTCTAAAGTCATTATTTTACTTTTAGATTCATTTTTTGAATAAAATTTTTCTAATTTTTCCTAATCAAAATGACTGACATCTACAACATAAATAATACAGTAAATTATATTTTTTGACAAAAAAATTTTTATTAAATATTTTAAGTTGTACACTACCCATATTAACCCACAATTTTATTCTGATCTTTTCTTACCTGCTTTTATTAAGTGGATAATTTGTTTGCCTGGAATTGTTAACAATTTGGCGTTGATCTGTGTTACTTTTAGAGAAAAGTATTTTTTGTTACTTTATTTATTCCTTATCTGACAGAGTTTAATTGACACCGGGGATGGGCAAGAAACATTTTAAAGTGATAATCGAATACACAAAACCCAAAATCAACGGAAAAACATAAAACCCCAAAGCACGGGCTAGGGCAATAAACAACAGCAAGAGACACCCATTGCAAGACTATCGGATTCTATGTAGATTTAGGTTTTAGAGGTGTTTAGATTTGAGAGGCATTCCAGGTACGTTTATGAGACGGATTGGAATGTTAGTTTGTCAATTATGTGAATCCTACTGGCATCCCATATTCTTAAATTTCTGCCTTATTGTCATACTGAGATATCTGACCGTATGAATGTCATTATCCGCAAAATTTCTGTTGGAGAGGGGTATACCTCTATTTTAATTATTATATAATTTAAAGATCTCTCCGTGGGCCATGTAATCTTCTGTTAGCATTAGGTGCCCTTTTTGATTTCTTCTATTTATTTGGCTTTACAATACCTTTTTTCTTGGCATTGACAACAATTAATTTTATCCCGCTACAAACTTGCTTCTATATTCAAGCAATTCCTTTAATCTCTCTCTTTGCTTCAGTAAATACTGTTTTGTTTGTTGGAATTGATCGTTTGTTAAATGTTATCTTATCTTTAAAGTAAATATTATACTTTTTGAAATTTATTCTGCTGGCCAATCCATCTGGTCTTGGCCCAATCTATTTTGTACAGCGGATGGAACATAGTGTAATCTGATTAATATAAAGACCTAAGACCCATAGTTGGAAAGTGGCCTAGATTAATTGACCTTTTCCTTTACTTAGTTACCCAAAAAACAAACTGTGGTAACTAAAGGACGAAAAGTGGGTAGACTTTTTATAGACTGTAGAAGCTTGTGTTAAGGAGAACCTTATGCTTATGTTATACCTCCTATTTACGGTACCCCTCATTACAAAGTTCAGCTCCAAGTGGTGGGTACTCCACGATGTACCGCAAGCCCATTGTACCGCCAAGCTATAACATGGTTCAAAATTATCAAATCCGAGACGCCAAGGTATGTTTCCATTCATCTCGTCAAGGCGCATCTGACCATACCAAGACATCCCGGATTCAATCATTTTGAACGATTTATAGATCGGCGGTACATTGGCCTGCTCCTCCAAGGGGTGTAAATAATAAAAGTGATCTTAGACTTTAATTTAAGCATTTAAAAAATAATTTTAAGATATCATTCACTAAATAAACCCATTTATTTCACGATTATTTCGTGTGGAATTCTTGTTTATCCGATTTATGCTGTTTCTTTGACTATCAGTGGAGTTTGGACACATCCAAATTGGTTAATTTAAACTTAGTTAAAAACACATTTCTAACCCATTTAATCTCTAAAGGTTAGTAATTTGTTCAATTACACCTCCTGATCTCTATGCATTTTATACTGGCGCAACACAACTAAAAACAAATGGAATTTATATAAATTCGGCTTCCTTTATTTGTTATATGTTTGTTTGGTATTTTGTTTGGAGAGCAAAAAAGCAAACTGAAAATAGTATTGGAGTTACAAGTACGTCGAACCTCTCTATATTTTACTCCTCCAATTTAAGACAATTTAAAATCTGCCTGGGCCTTTGACGGAGCTTTCATAAAGCGATTTCCCCTATTTAGTATATGTACCTCTCATTTTTAGATGAGGGTTTTAGCTCAACCAAGGGGTGTCTAAAAATTAGGTTCGATGCTATGTTAAACATCACTATAATTCCATCAATTGGACTCAAATAAGGAGAAAAAATTTTAGATCAACACGGGAGAGATCTCATGTGGGATTATACCTTTAGGCAGACGAATGGGATTGTCGGGATAACTCCCTCTGGATCACTCCCGTCTGATCTCTTGAACCCAATTCCGTTAGAGGATTCTGGGAATCTCTATAAAATATTTTAAAGATTTTTGAACTGTTTACTTTTAAAGATAATCAAAGTCATCGAATTTTTAAATCTGTTCTCTATATAATGTTTTTTGTTGTTGGTACTTGGCTTTTGAATACAATCTATGGGTCATTTATATCCTTTTTATTTACTGATACTTTCTCAACCCAATATATTGCACCCTCACTTAATTTCTTGACTTGTGTAATCGCTTCTTCTAGCAACGTTTTTATTCTCTTTACGTGCAGGTATTTTTAAAACAGATTTTTGAGAAAAGTTCGGACTCCGGATAGTTAAGCTTGAAATTATTTGAGAAAAGTCAAAAAGCCGGGATAGACTTGGCAAGTGCGAAATAAAAATTATCCGCACGTTAGGTGCTCTACCGATATTATTATATCAATCAGGTCCAAGTTGTTATATACTAGCCTAGATGATAAATCGAACATCTAATACTGTTAAGATTAACGAGATAAGCGAACGGTAGCTCCTTGAATTTACTGGTAATTATTAGGGATGGGATTTTTAGGTCGTAAAAACCTTCAAATAGGCACCTAAATAGGTTTATAAAATGCTAAAATAGGTGACAAAAATAGACAAATAGCCCTTCTTTTTTTATTACCCTGGGTAACTATTCTTTTAACATCTCGCTGCTGTGGGTATTAGTCAAGGGAGGGCAAATGATAGAGGTTATATGGTAACGAAAAATATTAATAATATCATTTATCTTTTAATTTCAGTTCCGATTATCGCCGTGCTTTTAAGCATCTTGCTTTAGATCTTCCAATTTTGGGTAAATTAATTAAAGGAATGTATGGGGGTACGACTAGTAATACTGTAAAACCGACAGTTCAATCAGTAAAGGTGGCAATTCAACCAAAACAAAATTTAATGCGAAATCCCGTCCATCCTCAAAATTAGAATATTTTACGTTGAAAGAAAAGAATGGGTGAAACAGATGAAAATAATTAAAAATTATTAAAAATTAATTAATTAAATTGACTCATTTTCATAAAAAATGTACTTTATTTTTTCCTAAAAATTTTTTTTCCTTAAATTTTTTTCTCATTTCCCTCACATTTCTGTAAATATTTTTATAAAAATTTTGATGGATAAAGCTGTAAAAATAAATATAATATTTCTTGTCTGTTGGTAATTTTTAATTAATTTATTATTTAAGAGACCACACAAACTATTGTTTATTTAAAATAGTATAAAAGGGAAAATAATTACTAGATAATTAATTCAAATCAAAAAATATTCACTTATTCAATATATTCCTAGGAAAATATTTAAAATGAAAAAATTTTTATTAGTCTTGGTTTTCCTCACCGTCTTTACTCTTTTCGCCACTGTAATGGCATCAACTGAGGATAGTCAAGGTGAAAATAAAAAATTAATTTTAAAACTGGCTAAGATAAAATTTTTTCAGAGATTCTGGAACGTTCAAAGCGTCAATTTAGCTTTGTGAAAGTGGCACCAAACGGTGCATACAAAAAATTTTTTAAAATCTTTTCAATTTTTAGATGCCATAAGTCGTAAAAAGCGCCAATTTTGGTTCAGTAAAACGGCACCAAAAGGTAGATATATAAAAGTTGTAATCGAATCTGCTCTATCCTTTTTCAGATGTTATAAGTCGTAAAAAACGCCAATTTAAATTGAGGGCAAATAGCAAGAGAGAGGTGAATATTGTTAAATATTTATAGATAAAAGCCTTTAAATTTTAGGCCATTCATGGAGATCAAGCTGACTCTTTTCATGTTTTAGATAAGACATTCAATTAAGAGGTAGTCTATAATCAATAAAAAATATTTATAAGAACTCTTCATTACAACATAAAAAGACCTTTACACATTAAGACCGGGGAAGTGGTTTGAAATTTGCAAAAATAATTCTCGAATACTTTTCCGGTTTAATGGAGTTAACGTTAACTAGTAACTCTTAAAAAAGATTTTCTAACTTTTTTCTAATATTAAGTTTAAAATTTCAGTAAAATGAGCAGACGACAACTGAAACATTTGAAGATAATGACAATATATGAATTAAATTTTAATAAAATAAAAGATAAACATAGTTAATAAGCTCTTATATAAATTGGAAATAAATATTTACAGTAAAATTTTGCATAATATACATTCAGAATTTAATTTTTTTATGGATACATCTCAACTTAGCGCGCGTATTTTGCGACAGATGCGTTAACATGCGTTAACATTATGTTTGCCTTTCGTTGATTTTTTCCTTTTTTTTGATGTTCCGTCTTTTGTCATCCATTTTTCGTTTTTTAAATGAAGACAAAAGTATTGTCACCTAGTTTGTTAGCATATTGCAAACCAAACTTTTTTTCGATATGTCATAACGTTCGTTTTATGTAGGTTTTAAATAATAAATTAATTCACAAAATGTGTATTTATAAAAATATATTTACAGAAATCTGAAAGAAATAAGATAAAAAAACATTTTATGAAAATTCATATCAAATTTACATAATTCATTAATTTTTAATTAATTCTCATCTTTTTAATTCCACTAATTTCTTTATACAAAAAATAAATTCTAATTCTTCGGGTAGACTGCAGTTCGCAAAAAAGTAGGTTTTAAATGAATTGGCGGCTTTACTTGTATAACATTATTTGCACTTGCAGACTCTCCTTTAAATAATTTTCCTACTATTGGAAGGTCAAATGCAAGACGTTTAAAAGCATTGCGATACTTTGAACTAAAGTTAAATATAAGTTAAATAATATTGTTTTTAAATCCCAAGAGTATAATGGATGTCATCTTATATTAGATTGTTATTTTGGTCACTCCAATGATTTCCAAGAGAGTTTTGGAATAAGATTTCGAGCTTTTTAACATCAGAATTTGGCGCTTGTCTAGTTTATAAGTCCAAGCAAACTTTATGAGGCCAATCAAAAAATAATTGGATTTTTTTGGTATTGCAAAGTTGGGTATGGTTCCAAAAGATTTCTTCATGTTCGGGACTTACGCTCACTGAATCTGGACCGTTCCTTACCCTATTCCTCGAAATTTCTGAAAGTTACAATCGTTTTTCCGAGATTTTTAAAATTTGGCTATAACTTTCAGAAATTTCGAGGGATAGGGTAAGGAACGGTCCCAGACTCAGTGGGCGTAAGTCCTGAAATGAAGAAATCTTTTGGAACCATACCCGGACTTTGCAATACTAGAAAACCCCAATTTCTTTTTGATTGGACTCATAAAGTTTGATTGGGAGCATAAACTAGGCCAGCGCACAGAATTTTTCTCTAAAACATAAGAAATACCTGCAAGCAAATAGAATAAAAACATTGCTGGAAGAAGCAATTTCACAAGATAGAAAATTAACTGCGGGTGTAATATATTGGGTAGAAAAATTATCGGTTAATACACTTGGTATAAATTTATTCCAAATTGTAAACAAAGTCCAAGTTCCGACAACAAGAAACATTATATAGAGAACAGATTTAAAAATACGATGATTATGATTATCTTTAAAAATAGTAATTTAAGAATTCTTTAGGCTTATTCCCTTATTCCATACTTCCATATTAAAGATATTATATATATATTAAAAAATTTCTGAAAATTAAAAAATTTTAAACGAAAAAGGCAAAACGAATTGCGCATTTGGACCAAAAAGTTCCAAGCTAGTTCTAGGCATTTACTAGTTCCGTAGTTCTAGTTCCAAACTAGTTCCAGATAATCGTTAGTTCCGTAGTTCTCGTTCTGGAACTAGAACTAATTAGTTCCGGAACTGGAACTTTGACATCACTGCAACCGACTGTGCCACCATCTAACCTAATGATTACAGGGTGACCCAAAAGAAACCGGGTCCTTTATAACTTCTCTTTTCATATCATTTTTAAACAATTCCAAGTTTATTTTGTAGCTCATTTATTTCTCTATCATATAGTAACCTTATACTTTAACCTTATCTCAAAGTAGAATAGGGAAAATTCTAAAAGATTTTTATATCTTATTCTCCATTTAGTTCTCTATAATTTCATCTTTATTTGATCGCATTATCTTTAAATTGAATAAAGTTATGGCAAAAATAGCGTGCCCGTTATATTCTTTCTGCAAGTGCAGACACAACACGCTCTATTTGGAACTATTAGCGTTGAAAAATAGTAACTTACAGTTATTTATCTAATTCCAAGGATGTCAAAAAAATACTCCAAAAATTGCGGAAATTTTCCAAAATTTCGGAAATCGTAGGGAAAAAACGCGGAAATCGGAATTCCGACCGACCCCCTGATCAGGGTGGAAGGAATAATAATAGTTATTGTCTTTGTTCTGATTTTTCTAGGACATAATCTCGGTCAAGACTAGAGACTGGACCGTACTACGACGGTATTTTTCGATATTTTGCGGTATTTATCTGTATTACAGTCGGTAATACGGTACGGAATACGGTACAGTAAAATTCTGAATTTTATCGGTATTTTTCGGTATTTCAGTAAAGAATACCGTTCAGTGCGAAATTCCGGTCTCTAGTCAAGACACATGCTTTATTAGATGAATATTAATGTAAGGTCCGACGTACTTGTAACATTATTTGCTTTCGAAACAAAATACCAAACGAACAAATAACAAATAAAAGAAGTCAAGTTTATAAAAAAGCCTGTATCAAGTAATTGAGTTGAGTAATAAAAGTTATAGGGCTCAGTTGTAATACAAATTACTAGCCTTAAAAAATTTAAAAAATTTTTGGATTTAAATTAAAACCGATTGTAATTTGACCAAACTCCATCAATAGCCAAAGAAACGGCATAAAATGGATAAGCAAGGATTCCAAAAAGAATAATTGTAAAATAAATGGGTTTATTAATTGTATGATATCTTAAATTAAATGTATTTTAAGGTAGTTAAATTAAGGCTGAATCACTTGTAATATATTATTCCCCTTGGAGCTCAAGTCCAAGTGTGGAGTATCATAAATAGGAGGTATAACCAGGGCTGTCCGCAATTATGGATTGCGTAAATTGCGTGGTTTTTTGGACTTGCAGATTTAAAATTAAAATTGCGGACAGCCCTGGGTATGACATAAGCAGCTTCTCCTACCCAGTCTATGAACCCCTGTTCATTCTTTGGATACCACAACTAGGTTTCATAGATACCGGTTAAGAACAAGAAGGAATAGTAGAAGTCCTTCGATACCCAATTATTCGTTCCTATTGTCCTTTGATATCCACAATTTCCTTATATACCATCTAAAGTAAGAAGGTCAATTAATACAAGAAACACCTCTACGAAAATCGGGGCAAGGCTGGATAAATTGGCTAGGTTAACTAAATTTCAAAAAAAGTATAATATTTACTTTATTGGCAAAATAACATTTAGCAAACGATCAATTCCAACAAACAAAACAGTATTTACTGAAGCAAAAAGGGAGATTAAAGGAATTGCTTGAATATAGAAGCAAGTTTGTAGCGTTATAAAATTAATTGTTGTCAATGCCAGTAAAAAAGGTATTGTAAAACCAGATAAATAGATTAACTCGAAAAGGGCTCCTAATGTCAAAAGAAGGTTACATGGCCCACGGAGAGATCTTTAAAAAAGAAATAATTAAATAAGAGTTGTACTCCTGACTTCAATTTACTCCCACTTTTTGCGTCAAATCGCAAATTTATACCGTGAGTGGAAATAATAATAATATAGGTATATCTGACTTTGTGTATGGTCAAAACATCTTTGATATTCCCGAATCCTGTGATCAAAATAGCTAAAGATATTGGAGGATTTTGATCTACGGTAACTCTTACAGAGTGTTTTGCAGCTTAGAGTCCGTTGCGATTTTTGGCATAAGGACTGAATCTTTCAGGAGAATTAGGTAGGTTCATCTCGTCTCAAAAATGGTTTCCATAATACGTGATTTTCAATTCAAAGGATTATTTTGAGTAGGTTTGTCATTTAAAACAGAACAGAACCGAACAAAACAGAAGTTTCGGTTCGTTTCCTAAGGCACGAAAAATAAATCAAAAATTTGACTGTGGGTCTTGAGTTGTGTTAAAGTTTGGTCCTGAGATTTTAAAAATTTTCAGTCGTAGACAGCTCTAACAAACTGACATGTTTTAGAAATTTTAACTCATGCCCCTTGTATCAAGGGGCATTTAACTCATGCTACCGTAAATGCTGAAATAACTACCCTCTCTCAAATAATTAAACTCTCTCAAATAATTACCCTCTCTCAAATAATTACCCTCTCAAATAATTACCCCCTAGTTATTTTAACAAACTTTAAAAATATTTAAAGAATTAATATCAAATTTGATTATTGAAACATTTTTAAACTCAATATCAAAAAATAAAACAATTTCACCTCAATTGGATTGAGATATACCCTAATCCAGCACATCCTCCCTAATAATTACCCCCTCCAGCGAGAGCTTCAAACAATAATTACCCAGAATAATTAGTACGATATGTTAAATACGTTAAAAGAACAAATTTTATAAAAAAAAATAATACTTTTCTCTAAAAGTAACACAAATTAACGCCAAATTGTTAACAATTCCTGGCAAACAAATTATCAATTTAATAAAAGCAGTTAAGAAAAGATCAGAATAAAATTTCGGGTTAATATGGGTAGTGTACAACTAAAAATATTTTTAAAAAATTTTTGTCAAAAAAATAATTTACTGTATTATTTATGTTGTAGATGTCAGTCATCTTGATCAGGAAAAATTTGAAGAATTTTATTTGAAAAAATAAATCTAAAAATAAAATAATGACTATAGAAGAAGGCTAAGAAGGCTTCGCCCTTAAAATGTCCCACAGGACAAAATCCGAAATGGCACATTGAGAAAACCCACAAAATGTCCCATCCTCATTTTATCAATCAAAAAATGTCCAAGAGAGTAAAAATACTCGATTTGTCGAGCTATAAAGTCGATTTTAAAAACGTGGTTATTTTTTTTTGTTAAATTTCAACTTTTTTTGGAGGTTTTCTAGTGAATAAACGATAATTTATTTCAATATTTAGCTAGTTTTTTCCATTTTTTGTCAATATTTTGTCCACTTATTTCAATATTTTATGGCCATATTTTCCGATTTTATTTCAATATAAATCCGATCCCTAATGAGTAGTGTACAACTTAAAATATTTATTTAAAAAAAATTTTTTGTCAAAAAATATAATTTACTGTATTATTTATGTTGTAGATGTCAGTCATTTTAATTTAAAAAATTTTTTAGTAAAAGAATATTTCAAGAATGAATCTAAGAATTAAAATAATAACTTTGAAGAAGGCTAAGACCTCGATTATGGACCTCCATATATTCGTACCGGCAAACCCTGATCTCGGATATATTCACGACACCAAAGGTTGGCGTGCGACGCTTGTCTCGTCACATTTATTTTAATTTAAAAAATCCAGTATAAGAAGTCTATTTAAAAAGCTGTGCTTTCCTGCTATTGCGTGGCACATTTAAAAATTTTTTAAACCATATTAAAAATGACAACATTTAAACAAAAGTATCAAGAGGTGTTTTAAATGTAGCAAGGTAGTTGGCTGTAAACCTTTGGATTTAGTACAAGCTAATGTTGACTAGGTAGCGTGTCATAATTTTAACCGACCTAATATTTCAACATTATTATAGCTATAAACTTGTCTTTCTCCCTGAAATTTTTTTCTATAATTCGTAAAAATTTACTTAAAACGGGTTTAAAATTAAAATTTAAGAGCAAAAATAATAAAAATGGATTGCGTCATAATTATAGTACCACTTTGAAATTTCAAGTTTCTAACATTAAGAAAAATCTAGAGTTGGGCGGGATCGGGATCCCGACGTAAAATCGGGATCGGGATTTTGGAATGATGATCCCGATCCCGGTCCCGATCCCGACTGCGGGATCGGGATTGGACGAAATCGGGATCGGGATTCGGAATAATGATCCCGATCCCGATCCCGACTCGGGATCGGGATTGAAAAATCGGGATCGGGATTTAGTTAAAAAAAATTTTCAAAATTTAAATTTTTATTGACATTGCATATACCTCAATATAATTCCATAATTTACATCTGCTGTGCTGAAATATTGATTTTAAGTCCCAGCGCGCATTTGTTCTTGGCGTATCAGGGATTAAGGAGCAGGGATAAAGTATTAACGATAAGGTGATTCTGATGGATTAAGAGGGATATCGTTGATTAATGAGATATTGGGATCTAGATGGACATCTAGGATATCCATTATATCCGTTCAAATCCATTCCGTCGATAGTTTTATAAATGAGTCTCTTCTTATTCACCGCTGGAGGCAAAAATTTTGAAAAATTTCGAAGATTCTCAAGCCAAAATCTTCATTTTTAGCGCCGCAGGCGAAAATTTTGAAAATTTTGGATGGCGTAGAAGCCAAATTGCTTTCTTTTCAGCTCATTAATTTATATTTTCATTAATTTATAAAATCCCGATTTCATCGGGATCCGATTGCTAATCCCGATCCCGGTCCCGATCCCGGCTCGGGATCGGGATCGGCCAAAACCGGGATCGGGATTTGTCTTTCGGGTTCGGGATCAGAAAAATCGGGATCGGGATTCAAAAAAACCGGGATAATCCCGCCCGATCCCGACCGGGATCCCGATCCCGCCCAACTCTAGAAAAATCTACAAAAATTTGTGCTAATTTGTGCTACCGCTCGGCTCGGCTCGGCTCGTCGAGACGAATCGAATGGTATGGGGCTTGTTTCAAAACCTTTTCACCGGTATACTAATCTAAAAATTAAAATAAATTTCTCAAGAAAAAGACTTCAGTAAAATGTTAATATGTATTATGTATGTGAAATAATATTAATATTAAATGAAAAACTTATGTGAAAAAATAATTATCTTATACACTTGCGTTCAAAGATGCACCAAGTTTTTTTTGGTTCAAAAAATTTTGTTTTGCCCTCAACTTTTTTTGTTTACTTCTTGGATTGTTAAGTTTGGTTTTATAAAAAGGCAATTTAATTTTATATCTTTTGAGAAAAAGATTTAAATTCTAACATTCTGATACAAGAATTTATATGAGTAAGTGATATTCGGTTATTACTATGACAATAGTATTGCACCAAAAGTTTTCATTAGAAAATGTGTAAACTTGAAATAAAAAAGCTATTTGCTTATCGAAATTAAATATTAATCTTTTGTCATGTGAAATATGACGAAAAAATAGGGTAAAATTCGAAATCTGGAAAGCTGAAAAACAATGGGAAAGAGGGGTAAGCAACTTTAAATAAATTTTGACTAACTTAAGGCTCATAGTAAAATTTTCTTTTACACATGTCTGAAAGCCCTTAAAATTGTAAAAATTTTCTAATTGGTTATATAATTTATTAATTTTGAATATTTTATAAAAAGTCATGGTTACTTAGCTTGGTACAATGCTTTTGAGCGGCAGTGTACAATTTTCTAATAATTTTATTTACATTTTCTTTTTTTTTCGTGTCCGCTACAATTTTTTCGTGCGGTGAAAATTGTAAATATTTTTCAACTTTTATGGGGCAAATTATGTATATTTATGTGAATTATTTTAATTCTTGTTAAAATTGAATTTGGCCGGCCAATTGGCGACCGAAAACCAAAATTTGGTGTTCGGTTTCTTCAAGTTTGAATGTTCTGTTTCTTCATGTTTGGAACATACGCCCACTAGGACTGGGATCATTCCTTGCCCTATTCCGCGAAATTTTTGAAAATTATAGCTAATTTTTAAAAATTTCAGAAATATAATTTTAGCTTTCAAAAATTCCAAGGAATAGGGTAAGGAATGATACAAATCCTATGAGGAAAATTATGGTAGAGGAAAGGAGAAGAATGCAGCAAAAATTCATTTTTCCAGAGTCATTTACGGGTATGTGGAAGACGAGCTAGACATTTACCGCTCTTAGATAAATTAGAAAGAAATATTTACTGTAAAATTTTAGATAATATATTCAGAATTTTAATTTATTTTTATGGATACATCTCAAACTACCACGCGCATCATGCGACAGACGGGCTTACATAATAGTGGTGTATTTATATTAAGTATTTATTCTATATTATTTCTATTTTATAAAATGCCAAAATAGGACCAAGCAGTATGATACCAAATTTTATAGTATAAATAGACATTGATTATGTAATTTGATTATAAAATAGAACGAATTATTTGTTTAATTTACTAATTTTTATTTATGTAAGGAAAAAGACGGGGATTTTAAGGTATTATATTAACAAGGTTTAAGATTTATTAAAAGAGGAGGCGAAGCTCAGTCAGTAGAACACCCGTACTTGGTAAGCGGTAGCTCCTAAAAAGCAAAAAATTAATTCACTCAAAAATAATTTAATTAAAACCAAAAAATTTTAATCACTCAAAAAAATTAAATTCAAAATCAAAAAATTTTAATTCATCTCTTCTCCAATTCTCCTTCATTTACTTAGATCAGACATCCTAAACGTATTTTTGTGAAAAACGCGTTAAAATTAAAAAATATATAGAATACGGACCACAAATGGGCTCGCAACTATAGACTGAGACATTGGGCTCGAAGTGGTCAAAAAATTACGGGGTTCGAAATGGCAAAAGCTAATAGACGTGTATAAAATATATGTCATTCGAGAGAGCTCGACGAGTTGAGTCATATGACATAAAAATCACCGTGATTAGACTAGTTTAGACAAAGTTACAAAGAATAAACCAAAAAAATATATTAGAATGTACCTCAAAATTTTGTTAATCTCGACTCAACTCGTCTCGACCCCTTTCTTATATATATTTTGTTCACATTCCTTTGTGGTTCGTATGCTATATACTTAAAATTAATACCTCAAAACAACGCTTCAAAAACTTCGCCGTCCTCAAAAATGTGTACATGGGGGCCAGATTGGTACACGAAAACTCGCCAGTCCTCCCAAAAAATAATTTTTAAACGTGCAGCACATCCCTCCTCCTAAAGAAATATTTTTAATGTACAAGGCCGAATAAATAAAAATTTTATAAAACAAAAATATATAATTAGATAAATTAAATTTCAAAATATTTAAAATCAAATTTTCTTTCAATTCTTAAAAAAAGAAAAACTGCGCCTTCTATGTGCATGTGAACATGCTCGTCTGTGTGTGTAAATTCAACCTGCCAATTGTCTTGATAAAAAATTCTCATTTTGGCTGCACAACCTTCCTCCTAATAAAAAAATATTTTATATCGAAGAATAAAAAAGACATTGCTAATCAACGTTAAACAAAGGGTAAAAAATGTGTGTAATTTTCAAAGACATTTGCCCCTTGTTTAACGTTAATTAGCAATGTCTTTTTTATTCTTCAATATAAAATATTTTTTTATTAGGAGGAAGGTTGTGCAGCCAAAATGAGAATTTTTTATCAAGACAATTGGCAGGTTGAATTTACACACACAGACGAGCATGTTCACATGCACATAGAAGGCGCAGTTTTTCTTTTTTTAAGAATTGAAAGAAAATTTGATTTTAAATATTTTGAAATTTAATTTATCTAATTATATATTTTTGTTTTATAAAATTTTTATTTATTCGGCCTTGTACATTAAAAATATTTCTTTAGGAGGAGGGATGTGCTGCACGTTTAAAAATTATTTTTTGGGAGGACTGGCGAGTTTTCGTGTACCAATCTGGCCCCCATGTACACATTTTTGAGGACGGCGAAGTTTTTGAAGCGTTGTTTTGAGGTATTAATTTTAAGTATATAGCATACGAACCACAAAGGAATGTGAACAAAATATATATAAGAAAGGGGTCGAGACGAGTTGAGTCGAGATTAACAAAATTTTGAGGTACATTCTAATATATTTTTTTGGTTTATTCTTTGTAACTTTGTCTAAACTAGTCTAATCACGGTGATTTTTATGTCATATGACTCAACTCGTCGAGCTCTCTCGAATGACATATATTTTATACACGTCTATTAGCTTTTGCCATTTCGAACCCCGTAATTTTTTGACCACTTCGAGCCCAATGTCTCAGTCTATAGTTGCGAGCCCATTTGTGGTCCGTATTCTATATATTTTTTTAATTTTAACGCGTTTTTCACAAAAATACGTTTAGGATGTCTGATCTAAGTAAATGAAGGAGAATTGGAGAAGAGATGAATTAAAATTTTTTGATTTTGAATTTAATTTTTTTGAGTGATTAAAATTTTTTGGTTTTAATTAAATTATTTTTGAGTGAATTAATTTTTTGCTTTTTAGGAGCTACCGCTTACCAAGTACGGGTGTTCTACTGACTGAGCTCGCCTCCTCTTTTAATAAATCTTAAACCTAGTTAATATAATACCTTAAATCCCCGACTAGTAATAATTACAAATTATCAATTAAAATATACATAAAATACAAACACAGTGTCACAATATGTGGAAATATGTATAATTAATAATCCCCTTTTTCTTGGAAAATAGGCACAGTCTTTTTTCAAATCCCGGTTTTACAAAAAAATTCAAGTCTTATCTTCAACTCCAAAAGCATAGGCAATTTGTGTTAGACTAGCATAAGTACCAGTTAAAAGTCCCAAAACTCCAAACCCGAACAAAAAAATATTTTTAATCCAAATTCCCCTTGTCAATTTCATTTGGCTGTAGCTTTAATTTAAAAAATTTTTTAAGAAAAAAATTATTTTATTTTTACTTGCAGAGAAGGTCAATCATTGCTGGAAAAATTAATGCTAATGCAGTTCCAGCAAAAGCTCCAACAAGTGAAATAAAAAGTCCCAAATGAGGAATTAATTCAGCAATTAGGCCTTAAATTAGAAAAGAAAATTTTTTGATAATAATTTGAAAAAAATTTTTTTGGTGGTTTTTTTACTATATTTGCGGACGTCAATGGTACGGTTAAGGACGATTCAGTATCGCCGATTCAGTATAGCCGATTCAGTATCGCCGATTCAGTATCCGCCGATTCAGTATATGGCCATAACTTTCCTGCTATTCGACCGATTCGAATAATTCTCATATCATTCGAAAGGTCTCGTGATTCCACATCTTTTTCATAATTGGCCCTGATCTGATGATCACAAAAAAAGTTACAGCGTGAAAACCGATTTTTTATGCCTGTGACGTCGTTTATCAGTGATAACTTTTTGTAGAGTGATCAGATCAGGTCAGTCCAATTATAGAAAAGATGCAGCACCCCGAGGCCTATCAAATCATATATAATAATTCCTACAATATTGCTCGTGCAAAAAGTTATGGCCAAAAAGCCCAAATACTGAATCGGCCAATACTGAATCGGCGATACTGAATTGGCGATACTGAATCGGCGATACTGAATCGTCCCCTACCCATTTGCGGACGTTAATGGTATAAGTATGCTTATGTAAGAATATATTTTTAAATATATCAGAGTAAAAAAAAATTAATTTCGCAAATATAGGCACGTAAAATACGATCCGCAAAATTAGTCCGCAAAGAAATGCACAAAAAATCTTGAAAATTAGTCCGCAAAAAAAATCCGCAAAAATTTTAATTAAATTTTTGGTCGTAAATTTTTTAAAGAAATAAAGTTCACGACTAGGGTTAGGGGCCGATCCGGCCCGGCCCGAAAGATCGAGTCGGGCATTAAATGTTGGCCAGAAAAAGACTCATGTCAGTCGGGCCGGCCCAAAAAAATGACTCAGAAAAAATGCGGCCGACTCGAAAACCCAAACCTATAAAATCCCAACCCTATCCACGACATGCAAATTTTAATTAAAATAAAAATTAAAAAAATAAAATTCATACATGTCAGAATAACCATAGAATAACGTAAAATATAAACAATTGGATTTTGCCATTCAATTGGAATTTTACGAGAAACCCATTTCTCTACACGTTCCATTGGGACTTTAAAAAAATTTTTAAAATATTTAAACAAAATCAAAAAAACCATAGAATTGAAGAGGATAAGAAACAAGAATGCAACCAACAAGCATTATTTTGATAACTTGGTAGAAACTAAAAAAAATTAAAAATAAAATCCGCAAAAAAATTTTGTCCGCAAAAAGTTGCGGACAAAATTATTTGATGATTGGAAATTTATATGTGATAAGTAGCTATTAGGGATTGGCCCCCGACCCATTTGGAAAACTTTTTTGAGAATTTAAGAGAAATCCAGACCTTTGAGATTGGGGCTAAAAATCGTCAGGAATCACAGGGGAGGAAAAACTCTAAAAGCCTATTATTTGTTAGACATGAATAATCAGAACCGTGTTCAAAATAAAAAAAAATAATCGAAAATTTTGTATATAAAAAAGACCGTAAATCGAAATTTAGGATCAATTCTAATTTAGGGGCAATTCAATTCTAAAAAATTTGTCCGCAAAAAGTTGCGGACAATTGTCAAAGAATCGAGTCCCTTCCTTACCCATACATTTTATCCGCAGAATTCAATCCGCAAATTATTAAAAATTAAAAAAACTTCTCTTACGGTTCATTTGGCAAATTAAGAGTAACAGTGTCTTTAACATGACTTCCAAAAGCCAAATATCCATAAAATCCAGTTGTAGCATAAACAGCCAAAACAATAAAGCAAGCTGTGTTTAAGACACCATTGGCAGCAATAAAGTCAACAGGATTGATTAATTTATTTTCAATTGGTAAAACCTGTGAAAAAAAATTTTTTTTGAAAATTTTTCAAAAATTTGAGAAAAAATTTTGAATTTCGAAAAAAATTTCAAAAAAAATTTTCAAATTTTTTTCTCGAAAATTCTGAAAAAATTTTTGAAAAAATTTTGGAAATTTCAAAATTCCCGAAAATTTTCAGAAAATTTTTTTGAAAATTTTCAGCATCCTACATTTATAAGAAAAAATTCCTAAAAAAATTTTTTTAATTTAAAAAATCATACCACAGCAACCCCCTCAAATGCAAACATAACAGTTCCAAAGAAGAGAGGTAATTCAGTCAAATTTCCAACTGCTGGGGCATCCTTTATTGGATTTAAATGGGTAACCAAATAGGCAACAATAATTGCAACTGCAGCCAGATAAAAAATATTGGCAATTAAAGCTAATGGGGCCAACATTTTTAATTGACGGATTGTGCATAAACTTAAAAAATATAAATTTTAATTTCTTAATTTTGAAAAAAAAATAGATAGGAAAAACCACTAAAAATCGGTAGAGTAAATTAACAAGAAAACCCAAAAAACCACTTATTTTTATTGTTAGACTGATAAATTTTTGGGGAGAATGAAAGAAAAGTTTTAAGAAAATCTTCGGTAATATTGAACCGGTCAGACCCCCTTTTCCTCCCTAATTTTTCCCCCTAAATTTTAAACCTTCTACTTGTTTTTGGCAAGTATTTGCACTCGTATAAAATTAAATTTAGGAGAGGAATGACGACCTTTTTTTCGATGGAGGCAAAAATTAGAAAGTCTGACCATTTTGCAAAAATATAGAGTAAAAATTGGGGAGGAAAAAAGGGGTCTGCTGGTTCAATATCACCAAATCTTCTCTTTCATCTCTTTAAAAATAATTTTTCGGTGTGATTAATACCAAGACGCCGAAAACCAAACCAAATAAAGCCTTTGATTACCAAAAATGTGTAAATGACTTCTTAAATAAATACAAAATTACTCACAACATTCCCCATTGATAGAACAACTTTCAAACTATGTTTGTTATCTTTTAAGAGTTTGATATTTCGCCGGATCTTAGGGGTTTGGTATTTCGACGTTTACCCAAAGGAATTAAAAAAAAATAAAAAATACCCCAAAGTAGGAACTAACAACATCGCAATCCATCCAGCTTGGGATATATGGATACATGAAGTCTCGTCGAAGAACTTTAAAAATTTTTTAAAAATCTTCCCATCAAATTTAAGAAAGAAACCTGTTTTAAATTATCAGCCATAAATACAAAATAAACACAACAAAATCCAAGTTGTGCAATAAACATTGTACTGTTGACTAATTGTCTTAAAATTCGACAAAATTTAAAAAATAATTTTTAAAAAAATACTTAAAGAAATATCCTCGTTGATTAATCCATGGAGGTCCACATTCAATTGCATTTCTCATAACTAGAAATATAATTTAAATATTTTTTATAAACTTTAGGGAATTGAAATGGACTCAAAAGACTTGGATTTGCTATACTAATGTTAAATTTAGAGAAAGATGCGGGGTAGAGATCGAGCTAGGTCTAGACCTAGGCCTGGGTTTTCCCTATACGCAAAGCCCAGGCCAAGGCATTTTTTGACCTTCCTGGGTTTTTCATGGACCTTAGTTTTTCCTGGACTACAGAATCAGGTCAACAAATCAAACCCCGAACCCAGGAATAGGCCTTTCAAAAATCTCGATCTCTAGTGCTGGGGCATGCTTCCGAGGGGAAATTTGGAACAACATAGGAAGTTGGTTACCCCGTAAATTCATTTATAAATTATTTACATATTTATTCGAGAGTTTACTTGCTAGGATCAGCATTTCTTTTATTTATCGCCAAAATGTTTCCCATCCCATTCCCAAAATCACACAATTTTCTAATTTGTGGGATGCGGCTTTTATCCCACAAAATCCACCCACAAAAAATTTTTTGGAATACGAGACCCCACAGATAGATTTGGCCGGTCAGTTAAAATGAGGAAGGGGAATAAGTACCTAGTAAAGTTATTTATCGACAAAATGCATGCGAGGGCATTGCTTTAATAACTTTATTTTTAAAAATTTATTTATCTAAATTAACCATTTCCATAGTCCATAATTTCTTGTCGCTTTCGATTGCATAGAAATACAGAAGAATGAACCAAATTTCGACAGCAGTATGTACAAACACCGCAAATAATTATTAGAAGAAAAAGTCCTAACTTTAAAATAAAAAAGATTATTTTAAAAAATCGATTACGAGTAGGGGAAGTCTCAACAAAATTTTCTGACTTTTCTTAACCAAAGGATGATTTTTCTTTATTTTAGAACCTTTCATAAAATTTTAAAATTAATTTTAGACCACCTAACAAGGAAGTAACATTTATTGTCATTGCAAAATGACTAGTGTTCGACACGGTATCCCGGGGTATTTTTTCCGGTATACCAAAAAAAATTCATTGCCGAACACCAAAAATGACTTGATTCAAATGTTTTTCAAGAAAACAAATATAACTTCTCAACGGGAAGTCGAGTGTTCCCAACCGAATCGTACCAAAAAATATAATAAATTCCTGGTCATAATAAATGATGTTCCCCAAAAGTAAAAATTAATTTTAGTGATTAAACAAAAGAAATTTATAGGTCTACTCCCCTAATAAAAACCCCCAATTCCTTAAATATCAAAAAATTCAAAAATAAACCCAAAGTCCAGAATGTTTAAAAGCCAACGGCAACGACAAAAGTCCAGTTCCAAGCATAACCTTTTTAAATTTGAAAGTTTAAAAGGTTCTTTAAAATAAAAAAAACAAAACCTTAACCAAACTGAACAGCGCCTGATCCGGGGACATTGTAAAAGCAGTCCGCGGGCGTTCGCTGAAGAGCATTTCATGGCTAATCGTTGGGTCTATATTCATTCTATAAAAAATAAAAAATTAATTTTTAGTATTTTAGGGCTGGACAAGTTTAGTTAAATAACCACATTTTTCTATTTTTTTCCTTTTAAGTCTGATCTCTAATCTTCGTTTTTTAGGCTCCCAATAGACCCCAAAAATTAAAAGATGTTTTTGGGTACAACCCAAATCGGCGCGAGGCCATAACGGCGCAAAGCCATAACTAGCTGGAATGTTTTTGGCCCTTATCAATTTTGATACCATTCTCTTTAGCTCGATGAGTGGAGTCGTTTAATACTAGATATGGTAAGATTCGAAAATCTTGAAGCAAGTTATGGCTAGGCGCCGTTATGGCTTTGCGCCGTTTTGGTCACGCGTCGTTTTGGGCGTGTCCCGGGTCTTTTGTAAGGAATTTCTAAAAAACCATCAATTTTCCTGAATTTCTGATTCTTTCCGAAAAATTTTTCACCATTTTCTCCGTAAACTTGCAAAAATTTCAGTTTTAGAAACCCCCAATTTCGCCCGACCCTATTTTTATCGTTAAACGAGAAAAATGTTTATTTTAACTAAAAGTGCATTTTAATACAAATAAAAAGATAAAATAAATGATAAAAATATTTTATGAGAAAAAAGGAGAAAAATACAAAATGATTAGTGTAATGAATTTTAAAAATAATTTTTTATTTAAAGAAATACGGCTTAATGCCGTGTTTACATAAAAAGCGTCTTGCGTTTTGCGGAAAAAAATAGCATTCAAAAGAAGGAGAGACAAAATCGCGTCTCTCTATTTTCAATGCTATTTTTTTCCGCAAAACGCAAGACGCTTTTTATGTAAACACGGCATAAAGAAGACTAATTTAGAGCTACACAAACTAGAAACTTAAAATTGCAAGCATGATTCATAGTACAAAGGAAAAGCCACCCGTTATAGAGAAATCAATACTCTACTATTTATATAGTAAGGTTGGCGGGCAGGTGGAAATCTTCGGATATCCTGATACAGATCCGAAATTTACAAGAAAATTTTCCGGATCCGGATTCGATATCTGAACCTAAAATTGCGGATATCCGACCTTTTTTCGGACCCAGATCGCCAAATATATAAAATAATTTAAAAGTAGGAAAATTATTTTCACAAATTTCTGAATTTTCGATTTTAGTCAGACCTTATTTGGGTATACGTATCAGGGATGAATGCAATTGCGGATTGCGTTTTTTGACTTGCGGATTGCGTTTGCGGATTTTAAAATTAAAATTGCGTGTTGCGGAAATTTTTTTTCAATTGCGTCATCCCTGATAAGGTATAACCGGAACAATTGTAAACTTTTTACCAAACAAAACTACAACTAAAACATACTGAAGCTTTTTATATTGACAGTAAAAGGGAGAAAAGATGAGAGAACGCAATCAATAACTAGTAAATCCCACACCCACTCACTTGTCAAAAAGGGACATTCACGAATTTAATTTTGGAAAAAATTTTTTTTTAATTACGAGTAGCTAAGGTTAAGAAATTTTTTAAAAATTTAAAATCAGGAAAAAAATTTTTTTTCTCTCAAAAAAAAACTCACGGTGTAGTATTAGACACACCAGACATTGCACTTTCTGTTTCTGGGTCAGGATATTTGTTTTGCATTGAAGTCCAAATAAAATTAAATACAAGTTAAATAAGTTAATATTTAAGGGGGTTATCTACTAAAATAGAATTTTAAATTGAGATAAAAGTAAATAAAAAGTTGATAGAAACAGAAAAAATGCTCGAAAAATGTTTGAGAAACTGAGGTGTTCCGAAATATTTTTGAAAGCGAAGCATGAAAGGCGAAAGACGAAACGCCAAAAGATGAGAAAATTCTGTGAAAGGTGAAAGTCAAAAGATCGAAGACCAGTGTTTCACCGGAACCGAAAATTTGACCGAAACCGAATCCAATTTAAGTTCCGGGTCCATCGGAACCGGAAACGGTAATAGTTCGGTTCGTACCCCCTCCCTCCTTTTTCCTTCCTAAAAGTATTAAAAAATGGTCAGTCAGTCTTAGGTTATAGAATCCATCGAGCAATGTCGAATGACATCAAAATCAACCCATGGTCTTAACTTTGGGTCGATGATATTTTCCCTTGATGAGAATATTATTTTTAAACAAATTTGGTCAGCACATACATACCTCCTGCCCGCACTTATCGAAAAAAATTAATTTATTGAATAACCCCACAAGTTAGTAAATATACTCTTAATTTATAACCTCAGAAAAAAGGTAAATGACCAATCTACAAATTTGAGCAAAAGAAAAAATAAAATAAATATTATGCAAAAGAACAAATACAAAAATATTAAATGTGCACTACTTACGGTACACCTCAATTGAGTCCGCACGATTGAGTCCCCACGATTGAGTCCGCACGATTGAGTCCCCACGATTGAGTCCCGGCACAATTGAGTCCCCACGATTGAGTCCGCACGATTGAGTCCCCGTTGTATATACCTCAATTGAGTCCCCTAGATTTAATTATATTAAAAAAGATTAAGAGGGATATTTGGGGATTTGGAGGGATTAATGTTAATATCAGGGGACTTGTATGCGACATCGAGGTATCAAGATGGATATTGGTGAATATCAAGGGATATAAGTAGATTTAAGCGGGGATATCGGTTGAATTAAGGCAGATATCAACAAATTCGGAGAGATTAAGATGGATATTGTGGGTTTGGGGATTAGGAGGGATATCGAGAGATTTTTTGAATGACAGCTCATTCGAAAGTAGTGAGTCGAATGACACCAAAATCAACATTGTTGAACAAGTTCTCGCCGAGATATGGGGCTCGAAATGGTGGATTTTTTGGTGGAATTCCATGGGGAATTTTTGTTGCGAAACATTCGAATAAACAAAAAATAGCTCATTCGAAAGGGATCGACGAGATGAGTTGAATAAGACCAAAATCAGGTTGATTGAATGATTCTGAACAAATTTTGACCAACAGAATCTTCGCTGGAAAAACTTTTTGTGCTGCTATGGAGGGTAGGGGAAACTATCTAAATTACGAACGTAAAAACTCCTTCCTAATTTCCGGACTCCGGCAGAATTTACCTGGATACGGGAGAAAATCAAAATGTGAAAAAAAAATAAAAAAATATTTTTTAAAAATTTTATCAAAAAAATTAAAAAAAACCAAAGTCTAGCTTCAATTATTGTGCCAAAGAAGGGCCTTTCTTTCGTTTTTTGTTCTCCTAAGTTCACCACCTTCGTTCCTTCAGAAACTGTGAACTTGAAAATCGCCAGTCAGAAACTGACGAAAATCAACTAAAAAATTTTAAAAATAAAAACGAAAAACAAAATAAAAATTCCAAACCTTTTCAAATTTCCCATCGTTGCAGCCGTGGGATGAAGTCCGTCACGTGATGAGCAAAGTTAGACCAACCTGAAATATAAAATCTAAAATTAAAAAATAAAAATTAAACTTTTACCTACACAAGATTCTCGTCCTCCCTCTCGTCCTCATTGAGAAAATTCAGTGCTCGGATGGACTTGAGTGGATGCTCGGTCAACTAATTAACAAAATTAGTTGCAAACCCCAAAAGAAAAACAAAAAAATAAAAAAAAACAATAAAAAAATCTAGGAAAATAAAAATTCCTACCGGGAATTTTTAACGGGGACTCAATTGAGGTATATACAACGGGGACTCAATCGTGCGGACTCAATCGTGGGGACTCAATTGTGCCGGGACTCAATCGTGGGGACTCAATCGTGCGGACTCAATCGTGGGGACTCAATCGTGCGGACTCAGTTGAACTGCTCCGCACTACTTATGTTTTTGAAAAAACAAAATTTTTCTTATCTTTTCTAATCATCTCATTAAATTATTTTTTTGCCCCTTTCGTTTGTTTCAGAAATTAATTTGATAAAAAAATTTAGAGATGTATGGTAAAAATTTTTTTTAAATAAACGAGAAAATTAAATTTCAACAGACCCAGGGTATACCTCCCAAAAATTTTTTGGCTCTACTGCAGTTTATGAGTCCAGTAGCTCATGAGTCCAGTAGTCTATTATTCCGTTTGGAATTGATAAAACAAAACACACTTGAGGCCCACCCGGGATTATAGAGTTAAACTCTATTATTCCGTTTGGAATTGATAAAACAAAACACACTTGAGGCCCACCCGGGATTACAGAGTTAAACTCTATTATTCCGTTTGGAATTGATAAAACAAAACACACTTGAGGCCCACCCGGGATTACAGAGTTAAACTCTATTATTCCGTTTGGAATTGATAAAACAAAACACACTTGAGGCCCACCCGGGATTACAGAGTTAAACTCTATTATTCCGTTTGGAATTGATAAAACAAAACACACTTGAGGCCCACCCGGGATTACAGAGTTAAACTCTATTATTCCGTTTGGAATTGATAAAACAAAACACACTTGAGGCCCACCCGGGATTACAGAGTTAAACTCTATTATTCCGTTTGGAATTGATAAACAAAACACACTTGAGGCCCACCCGGGATTACAGAGTTAAACTCTATTATTCCGTTTGGAATTGATAAAACAAAACACACTTGAGGCCCACCCGGGATTACAGAGTTAAACTCTATTATTCCGTTTGGAATTGATAAAACAAAACACACTTGAGGCCCACCCGGGATTACAGAGTTAAACTCTATTATTCCGTTTGGAATTGATAAAACAAAACACACTTGAGGCCCACCCGGGATTATAGAGTTAAACTCTATTATTCCGTTTGGAATTGATAAAACAAAACACACTTGAGGCCCACCCGGGATTATAGAGTTAAACTCTATTATTCCGTTTGGAATTGATAAAACAAAACACACTTGAGGCCCACCCGGGATTATAGAGTTAAACTCTATTATTCCGTTTGGAATTGATAAAACAAAACACACTTGAGGCCCACCCGGGATTATAGAGTTAAACTCTATTATTCCGTTTGGAATTGATAAAACAAAACACACTTGAGGCCCACCCGGGATTACAGAGTTAAACTCTATTATTCCGTTTGGAATTGATA